ATCATTTTATAGCAAAATGTATTAGCAAGGGCTCCACAATACTGGTTCTATTTTTAAGCCTTTGTTCCTTTCTCAAATTCTCTGCATCCATTTCTTCCTCTGAGAGCTTCCAGTCTTCAGTTGAATAATCCCTTGTAACCCTTAGTAACAAGTTTTGTCATGATTCTCAATTTATGCTGAACTAAATCCTAATCCAAGTTTAGTGCCATATGTTTTCCTCCAAGTTCTTATTTGTCTTAATTTTGCCTGCATTTTGTACCAGGCTAATTGTTCCTTTATGATGTAACCTCCACACTGCCGTCCACAGAGTGGGAAAGTCACCCAACGCTCCAGTTTGTCCTTCTGGAAAATCCAGGCTGAGCCTTGTAGATCTGGAGAAACTAATACCTTCTCAAAAATCATCTGCTTAGTTCTGAGTACCTTCTGCAGTCTCCAATATGTCTTCAATAACACTAAGTACTTTTCTTATAACTGCCGATTTTGATTATTTTGTGGTTTCAATTACCTCATAAAAACATAAATAGAACATCCCCAGTGTCTGCCATAGTGTTTCACATTTAGTGAGTATGCTTAAAAGATGTGTGAGGCCATAGAGTTGTGACTTGTGCCTTACTGCTTCAATGCAGATATGTAAAAATGAAACTAAAAAGCCGAAAAAGATTACAACAAGATTGCAATAATAAGAGTAGAGCAAAACAGAACTCGAATTGATTTTTAAATAGTGCTTTTCTAAGTATCATTAATTGAGGTTTTTTTTTTTTATCCTTTTGGTGGAATAGCATTCCCACTTCAGTGGGAATCTTTGTCCTTCTATGAGATCATTCCCTTACTCTTGATGTTGTTCAGGTGGATTGGCCACCCTGGGCTTCTTTTCTGTTTACAGTGTCATTAGAATCTCTCCCACCTTAGAAATTAAATTAAAAATGTCACCACTCAATCTTGTGGCACCTTGCAGCAACATTATATTTTCTTCAAAGAAGAGAAAGAAATGAAATGGGGAAATCGTAGACACTTTCATTTCATCATCAGTCTGTTTTTTACACATTGCTATAAAGTAAGCAATAGCCCCACCAGTGTGGTGGCATATAGCAATGATCCCTGCTCTTGGGAGGCTGAGATAGGAAGCATTTGAGTTGAGGATCATTCTCAGCTGTGTAGAGAGTTTCAACCTTAAAAAAAAAAAAGATGATTATGATGTTAAATAAACTTCTATTTTCCTCCTGATTGCTGAAATAACAAACTGTGCTTAGTCTCCTCTTAAATGATCTGCAGTGTTTATTATTTTTAGCATTCCATGATTGCTTGACATTGACTTCTCCACTACTGTGAGTTTATTTTCCCTGTGTTCCAATGCTTCTTTCTGTCAGTCCTGCTTCCAAGGTCTCTACTACTACTTCCTAGTAGCCTCCCATTGGCCTTCTTGTTCTCCAGGCCCTGTGGCTGATACTCCTTGGCTTCTCTCCTTGCCAATCCATTTTCTAGATTTATGGCTTAATATTTCCTCCCTTGGTGATCTGATTCGCTCATATCAGTTTTTAATTTCTATTCAAATTACTTAAACAATTTAGTCATTTTCATGCTACTGATCACTACATATATATTTAGCCCTAAAGTTTTAGCCTGAACACACATTCTTCAAATATATATGTATTCACATAATTTCAAATACATTTCACCTTGCAGACCCTTGAACTCAGGCTGAATTCGTCACCCTTCAGTTCTTACTGTAGTTTTTATTGCAGGTCATGACAGCACCTCCCCCGCCACATCTGGCAGTACTCAATCAACCTTTGCCTGACTTCTTTTTCCTGGTTCCTCACAGGCAACCAAAAGCATTCCTTGAAGCTCCTCCCCTAAATGTCTATCCAATTGCTTTCTCCCCCTCCTTCCTACTTTTCTTCCTTAGTTGAGGATTCTAACCTTTACCTGGAGTACTGATAAAACAGACTTTGTTTCATCCAAGTCCACAAATTCTCCTTTAGTCCATCGTCAGCATAGCCTAGAGATACTTTTAAGAACACATCATTTGTCTTTCTGTCTCTTTCTCTCCTCCACTGATTTCATTTTAACTGCAGAACAGAACTAAAACACGTCAGATGGCCTAAAAGACCCTTAAGCTCTCCAGATCTACCCCCTATAGCCACCCCTCAGCTCTGCAACTCAGTTATACCTACAACACACAATTCTCTGAAAACAAAGCATTCATTAAAGTCCCCCTCATTTTTGTTTCTTAAGTGTCTCTCTGTAGAGCATCCTCAAGTCTGAACACTTCCACTCCTGTTTCCTTATACTATAGAAAATCCTAAGGTCAACTCAATGCAACGACCACTTTCTCTAGATCTTTCTGGGTCTCTTTTAGCCCCCTAGACATAAAGGACCAGACTTTCTTGTGTCTCATGCACACACTCCAAGATAGTATGTTATTATATATAAGGCTGAGTTGAGAACCAGCTTCCCTCATAGCTCATAGTTGAGCATCTATCATATGCACTGCGTGGCCGGCCTTTGCTAACCTGACTGAATTTGTGGAAATTGTGTGAGCAATTATTTCTTTTATTTTGACTTTTATTCTGTCTTCTTAACTGTTTGCTGACAAGCATGACTAATATAAGAGTAACATTAAAATCTGAAAATTACTTGAGTGTTTATTCCTATTAGTTCAAATGAAACAGCTTCAAAAAATGCCTGCTCACATTTTGCCACAGCATTATATTGAACCTGAAATTGCCAGAAAAAAAGAAATATGATTTTTACTGCTGTTTCTATAGCTGAGGTGTATCAAATATGTTTTCTTAAGAAACTTTTTGTGACATTCCTCTAAATATTTGCATATCGCAAGATGAAATCAACATATCACACAGGAAGCCTCTTCCAGATGTTTGACTCTGAGTCATTTCCTTGTAACCTTCTCTCCCACTGTTCCAATTTCAGTTTCTTTCAAAGAGGCTGCCAAATGTTGTACCCAGTGTTTCATCTTGCCCCACCTTTGTCTCCACCCTTTAATCTCGAGGTACTGATTTGTACACACTGTTCCTGCTTATGCAGGTCATTAGTCCATCTCTAGGCTAAGATGAAAAACAAAATTTCACATGGTCCTCTTGAGACCATGGCCCTGTGAACTATTTGTTCATGAGACAGTTTGGAGGAAGGCCTTTCCAGCCCTGCCTGAAGCGTCACCCACATCCTGCAGCATCTACCTTCCTCCTGTAACCACTAAGCTCCAGGTCAAGGAAGCTGGAAATCCCCAATATCCTTTAAGCAGCTCTTTGCGTAGTTTAGTGGGAAATCAAGAAACCATACCAGTAGGCGTCAGGAGGACAATCATTTATAAAAAGGATTATTTTTGTATGTACATTTGTATGAAATGACTTTATGGAGGAAAATGAGGGACCCTGAAAGTTACTTGAGAAACGGGAGAGCAGTACAGAAATGTGTCCTGATTCACAGAAGTAAAGAAATCCTGGATCTGGTCGCAAGGAAAAGTAAACGTCTTGAAGACACAGCCAGGAATTAGATTCCACTGAAGGAAAGTGACACAAAAGTGTTAAACAGAGCCCTCCAGGAATCTGCAAAGGATGGAATATTGAGAGAAATGTTTTTTAGAGTGCCTGTCTTGGTCATTCTCTATATTCTTGTATGCCTCGTAAAGTTGTGTTACATCTGTTCACAGTTAGCTGAAGTTAATATGAGCAGATGTGCATAAGGTACTTAAAGGAATCCTGGGCACAACATATGCATGAAAATCCACCTCCGATCATTGATGTCTTACAAGCAATGAAATCAAAGCGCCAAGACACTAAGATCACACAGTGATAAGTGGCTTACTTGGTATCAGAATCTCAGCATATGGCTTGCTATCCATTTGTACTACTACTGAGTGGGGTATTGGCTATAGAACAAAGTCATGTGTCTGCAGTAGACCAACCAGAAAAGGCCCCCAAGTACTTGTGTGAATTATAAAAATGACTGGAAATGGAAAAAGTGTTACTCTGTCATAAGGCTGATAGCAGTAAAGAAAATAGTAAGACATAAACTAAATCAAATGTTTTCTAAATATGATTCAATCATGTCACTATTCTAACCTCAGCAGAGTAAAGGGGGCAGAATATTGTGATGCACGCTTATAATCCAGCTATTGGGGAAACAGAGATAAGAAGGTTGCCAGTTTGATGTCAGTGGGTGACATAGTGAGATACTACTGTCTCACATTGATTGAAAGGAGTCCACAGTGTTGCTCAGTGTTATTCTGTTGCCTACCATGAGGAAGACATTATGTTCAAAAAGAAAGGGCTGGGTTGAGAGGGTGCGAGAAATTTGATGCAAATAAATCTGAGTTCCCTATTTAGGTTACCAAATCATTGAATTTCAGACATAAGAGGACACATTAAGAAGAGTTTACTTCTGTTGTCCATGATATCACAGAGGATATAACCAATACCTGAGGCTAACATGACTCCTCCAACGTCTTGCAGATTCAAGATGCAGAAATTCTAATAAATACCCATGTTAATTAGCCCACTTGGAAATTTATCCCTTAAAGTCAAGAGTTAAAAACTCACCACTCCTACCACCACCACCCCTCCAAAATGGTCATTTTGATTAACCCAAATTTTCAAATCACATCACAGGTGACAATCCGCATGGACAACAACAAGCCGGCCTGATTTGGCCTTTGTGAGAAAGGAAAAGGAAACAGATGTTTCTTTAAGGTATAATCTCATCTTTTCCTGCAATACCTAATTGTAAAATCCATATGCTCTCCTTGCAAACTGCTAAACCAGTGATGGCATGTTAGAGAATCAGACCCGTGTGTGTATTAACATTTTCAAATGTTACCTGCGTGCAGACAAGTTGTGGGAAGCGCAAATAACCCTCACTATAAGCCATGGGAAGAATCCCTCCCTTCCCTCTGAGTTGCACATGCCTAGGAAAAGGGCCTCAGTTCAAGAATTTCTTCAGGGCACTGGTCTGCTTGGACTCTAGAAGACGGGAATAAGTACCTGAATGCCTGGGATCTGCACGTCTGGTGACAGTGGAAGCTCCAGAATACAGGCTTATGGTGGTGTCGTCATCATCGAGCATATCCCTCGTGCTGCTGTATTTGGCCTGCATCCTGATTCCTGCAGAGCTGCGGGGGCGATGTGTTCAGATTGCTCCAGGCTGTGTGTCTAACTTCAGATACCTCAGGAAACCAGTTACTGAGAGGCATTCCTAATGCTCTCTCTCCCTGCAGGCAGCAGGGGAAGCCTCTGACTCCAGTTCCTGCATGGAGAAGCCCGGCCCCTCCCCTGTGAGCTTGTACTCAGAATGCCAAGTTGGTCTGGCTGAGGGGAAATCGCTGTGTTTTCTGGCTGGGCGGTCCCTGAACGTTATTATAATATCAGCATTATTTTTAGACCGCGTGTGTATCTGTTTACAAGTCTTTCAATTGCAAGCTGCGGATGATGAGCCCTCACCGTAGCACTCTGGGTCCTCTGACACTAATAATCAGAGATGGACACAGCTTCTTACCCAGCATGCATCACAGGCTGATTACTCACTTGTACCTTTAGGGAAGGAGAGGACACCCCTGCCTGTCTCCAAAGGCAGAGTGCAAAGCATCATTCACTGGAAGCCGAAGCTGCAGACCCCCTGAGAGCATCCAATCGATTCAATTCTTTCATTTAACTCAAAAAGAAATTGAAAGCTTTCTAGGTGAAGTGATTTCTTTAGAAGTCACAAAGCTGGTTAGGGTCAGACTAGTTCTGAAAGTTCTCTCCTGTTGTCAACTTCAGGCTCTTTCTTCTGACAGTATCTGGACTTGATTTACCATTTTCTAACACACCAGGATCATTGTGATGGTGAGCAATGCCATGCGCTGTTAGCAGCCCCCTCTTACACACTGTTACTAGCCACTGTGCAACTTTGGGAAGACAACTAGCAATGTGTGCCTACATTTGTTAAGTCAAGACAAGAAATGAGAGAATTGTCTCAGTGTCCAACAACTGCTCCTGAATCAGTACAATTTAATTCTATTTTTGTGTGTGTGTGTGTGTGTGTGTGTGGCAACAACAAAATACCTAAGACCATATTTTCATACACAAAGAAAACATTATTTCTCATAGTTCTGGTTCAAGATCAAGGTGTTAACAAATTCATTAGTGAGATGAGGAATACATCCTTTAAGTACTGTACTGTGGCCACCATATGGCGGAAGGAGTGATGTCACACAAGTAAACGTTGTGTGTGTGTATGTGTGTGTGTGTGGTATTGTTTAAGAAAAGCACACTAAGTATCAGCTAGTGTTGAAACAGAGTTAAGGCAGCCAGAGCCTATAAGAGACCACCAGAAACTATAGACTGTGAATTAGCGGTGTTTCAAGCTGTATGTTGTTCACCCTATTATTATATATTTAAGAGGAGTAATAACGGGAACCCTTTAATGAATGACTTGTGTCTGTTTGTTTGCATTGGGTTGAGCATTGGATTGCTGTGGAAGAAAGGAGGCAGTAAGAATTCTGAAGGTCAAGATATGTGCACTGCAAAGGACATGAAGTATTAAGAAGCTAGAATGTTAAAAAAAAATCACAGAGCAGTTGTGGTAGTACACATCTGTAACCCTGTAATCCTAGAGCAATAGGATCACAAGCTCAAAGTCAGCCTGGACTTATAGAAAGACTCTGTGAAAGGTAGAAACAAGAAAAGAAAGAACAAAAAGAAGGAAGAAAGAAAGGCTGAGAAAAAGAATAAAAGGAGCGAAGGAGGAAAGGAAGCAAGGAGGCTGAGAGAAAGGGAGGAAGGAAGGATGGAAGGAGAAGGGAGGGAGGAAAAATAAAGGGATAGAAAGAAGGAGGCAGAGTGAGAGGAGTGTGAGAGGAGAGAAATTACAAATAGAGCAGGAAAATAAGAGGGGTTTCCACTAATTATGTTTCTCATGAAATAATATAATAGTAACCAGAACTGTTTGCCAAGTTACAGTTATTCAAGTAGATTCTTGCTAATTTTTGACCACATATATTGAAATTTGTACTGTGTTTCTTAAACATTTATTTCAACAATAATGAAAATATTTTTTAAGCATGCTATATTGTAGGTACAGGGTCTTTTGGATTCAAAACCCCCTGGCTCTTTTAAAGCTTGTATCCTATGGAGAAAATTTGACTGCTGTGAATGTTGAGGCAAATATATAAAGGACCAAGGAACTCAAGGAAGGTAATGGAAGAAGGCTGATGATTTGACATAGAGTAACCAGAGAATGCCTCATACAATTAGGAGGTGATATGCATGCAGACTCGGGAAATAAGACAGAAGGCTTACAGCCATCTCAGTGAGGTTCACTCAAAGAGCGAAGAGAAGTCACAGAGATTTTGAGATGGAAACATGGAGATGGGGCCGAGACACCACAGAGAAGCCAACATCCTGACAGGAGAAGTAGATAGACTAGAGGTACCTCAAAGGATGAAGGGACTTAGAGCACATGAGATCTTAAAGACAATTTAAAAAGCTTTTTTGCTATTATATTTTGTTATTATTCTGAAACATGTTAAGAAATCAATGAGAGGTTTTAGTAGAGACCTGACATAACTGTATTAGTTTTTAAAAAAAAATATAGATTCTTTGTAGATTTCACATCATCCATCTGGATCCTATTCATCTCCCCATGCCTTCATATCCATCCTCCGCCCTTGCAGCCTCCCTCTCCACCCCCAAATCAAATAAATTTTAAGGCAAAAACAAACAAACAAAAAACCCAAAACCAAACAAACAAACAAAAGTCCCATTATGAGAGCTGTAGTGTGACATAGTGAGTCACACACTATACCCTTTGGTCCATACATTTTTACTTGTAAGTGTTCTTTGCAATGAGTCATTGGTCTGGTTCAAGGGCCTCTGGCTTCTTCCGCACCCTCATGACTGGGCCTTCGTTGGGACTCCTCTTGAATATTCTGTTGTTGTCTTGTGTCATGGAGATTCTCCAACTTTAGACCTGCAGATCCAACCACCTCACATGCTCCAGCAGTTCATAGATGAGGTGGATATTGGGGTGGGTCAACTCATAGTTCTGGTTCTAGGCCTTGGCTGGTAGCTGGATTGGTCAGTCTGCCAGCTTTCCCTCACTGTCACCACCAGTGTGAGCTCCCAGCACTGCACTGGCTAGCTCATCCACTGCAGCAGTTTAACAAACCTACCCTGCTAAGCTTGAAACGCACTGTAGGAACATAGAACTAAAGATTAGGAACAGCTCTGCAAGGCAAAGCTTTGCCTTGCAGGACTCCCTCAGTAGATATTTCTTTAAATGTAACCGTCTGGAATTCATCCTTCAGACTTGAGTACAGCTAGCAGTTGCTGTCACATCTCTGTCCCTTATACAAATACATGCTTTTCTGTTCATGTTTACACTGATATGCAGTTTTTATGTAAACAGACTGTCAGCATACTAGGTAATAGTATACCCTGGACCACCTTGTGCAATTTGCTTTCTACCATAGCTCTGGTTCTACTTGATTCTTTATCTACACACTAGGGGATTTCCCAGCTGCCTGTTCTCGGTAATGAAATCTTGATTTCAGCATCCAGACTTTTTTTTTATAAACTTATCTGTCTAATTCTAGAGGTCCAGAAAAAAACAACAATCAAAACAAAACTAAAATTAAAAAAATTGCACATTAGACTGGGAAGGTGGCTCAGTAGATGCTGTGTAAGCATGGGAATTCACATAGAACCATTTACAATGGCCCATATCTGCAATGCCAGAGCTGGGTGAGATCTGGGAACTCAGATTCAGAGACAGGTGAATCTGGGATCTGATTGGCCAGCCAGCATAAGGAGACAGTAAGACCACGGCCAAACAAAGAAGATGGTGAAGAGTAATAGTGGGTGATAGTGACAATCTCTGGTCTGTAAGTGTGCATAGGTAAGTGAGCATACACACATATACACATGAGTTCATGTGTGATTATATACAACATTCAAGTCTTCTCTAAATCCCATCTTGTGCTTTAACTAACAACTTGAGCCAATTAATCACACTTCTCTCAAACTTAACTCTGTTCCTTTTCAGATTTATCTCTGTCCCTTCTACAGTATTTTCAGACTTTGAGAATTCAAATTTGAATGTTAAAAGATGAGTGCGAACTTCACAAAAATGTGTTTTCCTCAGATTCCTCAAAATCTTCAAGAATCCAAATTTATGCTTCAATGTAGAAATATCTTGTATACATATTCCCTACCTAGTATCAAACTAATTAACCCTTTTGGGGAGAAGGCAAATTATGTTAGTGATTGCTACACGTAGGCAGGTTATGCTTGAATAAGCAGTTTTGCAATCTAGGTGAAAGTTACATAAAATCAATCATTTTCAAGTGAACAATTCAGTGGACCTAGCACAATTTCTGACCACAAATGAATCAGCATGAGGAAACTACAAATGGGTTCCCAGCAAAAAACTTGGAAATCCCCACTGGAAATCTGAGCAGTGTTAATGGAGATGTTTAGAAGCTATCTAGACAGATCACACCAGGAAACACGCTCACATTCTAATCATCCTTTTGAAAGGAAATGACTAAAGAATCAGTTGTTAACTGCAAAATAGTATGTCATGAAAAAAACAAAACATGTTCTGTGCTCCAAGACACTAATCTTGATTGCATGTTTTTAAAATATTCACTATCAGATCCAATTTATCTTTCGAAATAAAATATTTAAGGAGAATGCTTCCTGTAAGTGCAGCCCCTCTATGATATCACATTGCACCAGGTTCTGCTATCAGAGATATGGTGGGCAATCTCTCTGGATTATGGAGTGAAGGGACAAGTCAGGCTCTCTGCTTTTGGGTGATGATCAGTTTAATCATGATAAAGTGGATGAAAATAACAGCTCTATTTATAGTAAAGATTTTCTTCCCTCATTTCTTTACTTATCAATTTAGAAGTACATTTTACCTTCTCCCCATGTCTGATATACTGCTAGACATTGAGCAAATCACACAAACACAGTGTACACTCTAGTAACAATTTTGAGTAACACACACACGCACACGTGTGTGTGTGGGTATATATATACATGTAGATATATGTATATAGCCTACTTGTTCATTTAGTGTCACTGGTCTATACACGTGTTTAGTGTTGACTTCTTTGGGTTCAGTAACTCATCAGGAAGCTTGTTCCTAGAAAGAGCTCTTCCCCTTTTTCCACATCATTAATCATCGCTAGTTATTTTATGTAGAAGATGGGGCCTTGTGAAATTTCTACATCTATGTTGGCATATCAACTAAAGTTATCATCATACAGGTCTTATAGATATTAATGATATTTTGAGACTACAGCTTCCATGTCCTGTCTAGAAAACACTAGCAGTAGGCATCCTTGTCCTCTGGCTGTTACAGTCTTCAGCGACCCCCACCCCCCAACACACACACCGCAATATTCCCTGATATCGATATATTCCTGATATTGATATAGGGGGTTTGTTGTGATTGTTCCATTTGGGTCTAAGAACCTCGTGTTCACTTATTCTCTGTATTTCTTAGATGCCTCACTCCATGTCTTGTGGCTTACTAACTGGAAGATAATACTATCCTCTTTATGCAGCTGGCAAGTACAAAAGCCTTAGCTTCCTCATCCAAGTTCTCAACTGAAAAAAAAATTTACCAAGATCTCATAGTATTTTATTATTTACTCTGATTTTCAATATTTGTCTCTCTTGTTCTGTTGTGGTTGTTGCTGATGATGATGGTGGTGGTGATGGTGGTGGTTAAAGGTGTGAGTGTGTGTGTGTGCGTGTGTGTGTGTGTGTGTGTGTGTGTGTGTGATCCTTACATTCTCACATTCTTATCTCTTCTTCATCTCCATCCTTAAATTTATAGCTGCTTCTCACAGATACTGAATGCAGAAATATTACAGATTTGGTTGTAGACCTCTGACCCATGAATCCATACACAATTGTGCAATAAGCTTTCCTGGGAAGCTGTATCTCTGACTTGAAACCTGTTAAAAGAAAATATAATGAGGCAATTAAAACAATCAGAGACCCAGGAAAACCTTTAATGGAGTCAGAAAGTTTAAGGATATTGCTAAAAGCACTTCTGAGACATCTAAATTCTTAGAAAAGGAATCTTTAATTTAGGTTGTATTTATCTTCAAATGGTAATTGACTTGTCTCTATCATTAAGGAAGAAAATGATATTACCCTAAGGAATGCTACTCATAATAGGTGCTTAAAATAAAGAGCTGTGCCAATTAGTCACACTCAAGGAATCTCATTGGGCCATAGTGCAAAAGTCACCACCTGATACCATTTCCCTTTGCTAGCTGCTTCTTCTAGACCCTGGGGTTGGTAGACTGAGAAATTCTTCTCTGCAAACAATGGAGGTTAAGATCCACCACCTTGACTCGGGCCTTAGGGAGAATTTTAATCAGAATTTTCTGAAAAAATTCCCTGACATTCAGATAGTTTGGGAGCACAGATTAAGTCACTGCCAGGCTGGAATCTAAGAAGTAGTAACATTTTAAAATGTTAAGCCCATTTTGTGAATTTTCAGAGAATCATCTAATTCCATGCTTATAGTTGGAAAACAAATCAAGATGAATAAAGACTGCAAACGAGGAAGAAGCACGTTCTGTGAATTGTTCATGAATTTCTTTGGCTTGCATAAGTAGAAGTGAGTAGCTATGCACTGCTGATGTGACACTGGGGGTGGGGAGTGGGCTTTGCATTCTCACCAGTAAGCAAATTAAATGCTACTCTGTGAAATTCAGATTGATATAGAAACCCCTAAGGAGTTCAACATGCAATGTTAATAAACACTTGTCAAACACAATTAGGTATTTAAGAAAGAAACGAACATGAAGGAAGCACAGGAGAAAAATAAAATGCACACAGAGTTAGCAGGTACAGATCTTAAAATAACTGTGCTAAGTGGATTCCTGGAGGTAATAATTAGTACTGAGATTATTCTAAGCAAAATAGGAGTTGCAAATTGGTGGCAAGAGTTGATTTGCAAAAAAACCACGCTAAATTATAGACAACAAATTTAAAATAAGTCACAAGTGCCAAATAGCAACAGGGAAACTGGAAAAATTATGAGAAATAACACAAAAGTGAAAAGAAAAATCAATATCATAAGAAGTGAAGAAAGAGGAGGGAGGGATGGAGGGAGAAAGGAAGGAAAGAAGAAAAGGGAGGTGATATCTAATAGGAAGATACAACAATTTTAAGCCTACATATGCCTATTAATATAGTTTCAAAATGTCAAGTGAAATTCTCAGAGAAATATAGGAGGACCCATATGGGTATTCCCAATACAAATCTCTGCATTGGTAAAGGGAATTGGCAACATGTGAAGTATGTTCTCTGATCACAGAGGAACTAAGTATGAAGTCTAGCGGACAAGTAAGAATGTTAGAAGCACAGGTATATTTGCAAATTGGGAAATTTATTTCTAAGTAACTCATTGATCAAAGAACAATTTACAATGAAAATCAGAAAGCATTTTGAATCGAATGACCACAAAACAATGAAATACTGGAGATAATGAGTATCCAATACAAGAAGTTAGAGAGAGACTTCAATTTGGTACAAAGAAATATGATGGAAGGTGATAAAAAATATGAGAATTGACATTAACCAAGAAGTGATAAAAAGAAAAGGGAGCATCAGTAAATCAAAATATCTTTTAAAAATCAATTAAATTGAATTGAATTAAGAGAGTTACTCTTTCTATCCTCAATTTTGGATAAAGAAAGTGGCACTCAAAGAAGTATGGAGATTTGTCTAATGTCACATGTCCGGTGGGTAGGTTAGTCTTTACCTCAGAGTGAGGTCTGACCTCAAAGCCCATGCATGTTCTTAATCAAGGCTACAGTGAACAGCAGCGCTTCTCCTCACTTGGACCTGAGTCAGCAGCACCAAGAGACCATCATCTACATCCTGCCTCCACCTTTTCTTTCCATTCCCAGCTCCCTTTCTCCCCACCTCCACTATAACTTGTCATTTTTCTCATGTATGAGCAGAGGAGCAAGTTCTTAATTGCATGGCAAACTTCCATGTGCCTACACAGAAACTTACGAGTTGGGAATGAATGGTGAGCCATCCTCCCAGAGCCAGGGCCCTTCAGTCTGGTTACGGGAAAGGCCAATCCAAAATGAATTAATATGGTGAGGAGATGTTTGGCTTTCAATGAACTCCTGTAGTAAAACAAAAATGCATACACACACATCAGGAGGAACCCAAGACAATGTTATAGGCATTTAGAGATAAATGAGTCCTTTTTAAAAGGGATATAATGTAAGATGGCAATCGAGAGAGGACTGTCAATCTTTTTTTAAATATTTATTTTATTATTTATTTATTTATTATGTATACAATATTCTGTCTGCGTGTATGCCTGTAGGCCAGAAGAGGGCAGCAGACCTCATTACAGATGGTTCTGAGCCACCATGTGGTTGCTGGGAATTGAACTCAGGACCTCTGGAAGAGCAGGCAATGCTCTTAACTGCTGAGTCATCTCTCCAGCCCTCAATCTTTGTATATCGTTGAATGTCCAGAAAGATGTACTTCCTTATTTTAAAGCCATTGTCAATCTTCTCATCAAGAATATATTCATAATATTCATAACGAATGTGGGCTAAGGAAATCGTTCAGTGGGAAAGAGTGTTTGCTGAAAACACACAAGAACCTGGGTTTCAGTTCTCAGTATCCATGTTAAAAACCAGATGTATTCATGCAGGCCTTTAGCCCTTGTACTATTGGGGGTGAGGACAGGAGAATTCTGAGGCTAGCTGGATGTGAGCCTAGCTCTGTAGGTTCAGTACACACACGTACACATATATACGCACACAACACATATGTGCACGCACATATACATATTACACACATACATATACATCACACACATTTGTACACACATATACACATACATATAAGTAATTTTATAAACCAAAGGGGAAAAACAGGCTTATTATATCAATATTCCACCCCATTCAACAAACCTCACAACATCAAATGAGGACCAGCTCTTTGGAAGTTTTATGGGAAATAGACCATTAGTTTTTGTGCAAGTTGCAAATATAAATTCATTCTAGCTTTGCCAAGAAACACAGTGCTGGGAGTGAGACCCAGAGCCTGGAAATTACCACGTAAGCACTCTACCACAGATCGCATCCCCCCAGCACTGCACTGCACATTTTATGAATAAATAATTCAGGTTTCATTGAAGGCTTGAATTGGTCACAGAGATGAGATGATTCTTTGCCAATTACAGATTTGTATTAGAGGCGACGTGGATTTCTACTATGATTCTCTTCCTTGCCTATATTCCTGCTTTTGTTAACTTTAACAAGAACTGAAGTTATTTGGTATAGCATTGTAGGCTGATAAAAATGGAGTGGTGAAGATAGAGTGTATAGATGGACTGCGTTGTGGGATGCTTTCCATTGTTCCCTTCTCACAGATCTTCTGAATCAAAGTCTTCTGGATGGTAAATATGCTTATACAACATGCATGGTACATCCTCCTGTTTCTACAACACACATGTAAATCATCCCGTTTCTATCTACAACACGTCTTGTACATCCTCTTGATTTTACAACACGTATGGTATGTCCTCCTGTTTCTACAACATGTATGATTCATCTCCTGTTTCTACAACATGCATGATAATTCCTCCTATTTCTACAACATGCATGGTAAGTCTTCCTATTTCTACAACATGTATGATAAGTCCTTCTGTTTCTACACAATTTCTTGTTAACAGGGAAGCCTCTCAACTCTCAGGTTATTTGTTATTACTACATGCTGTTCAACTATTAACAACTGTTGTTTCTTTTTTCAACTATGTATAGGAGTGTTAGCTTTTAAACTTCTTTGTCACTTAGAAGGACAAAGAATATTGATGTCAATATTGGCTACAAAGTGAGTTCCAGGTCTGTCTGGGCTAAGATGGAAACCATGTCTCAAAAACAAAAAACATACCAACAACAACAACCAAAAAAACCCCACAAAAGCCCCCTATTTGCCTTTCTTAGTATTTTTCAAAGAACAAACAATTCATAAATATCGTTGTTGATTTCTTTCTTGATAATTCAAATGACAAGTGGTGAATTTTTTCACCTGTCCTTCAACTTTGAAAACTGAAGTATAAATGTATAAAAATTAAGAACTCATACTACTATATTCAAGCAACCATAAAATTTATTATAAATTATTTGTTTTAATATATTTACATTTACTTGTTTAGTGTATTGTGTTTGTGGCATGCCACAGTGCTCATGTGGAGGTCAGGCGGCAATTTGTGGAAGTCGTTTTTTCCCTTCCATTATATGCAGGCTGGGGATCAAAATCAGGTCAACTTTGGTGGCAACTGTTACCTTGCAAGACCTGATATTGTTTATTTTAAAGTAAAATTTGATCCCTTTTCAAAACAATTAATTAAAATTAAAATAATGTATTATGTACTTTCCATGCCTACTGCATAATTCTGTGATTACATAGAACATTGATATTAACATTGATCTTCCAAGAATCTCTCTTGCTTTGCTGAACATAGACCACAGGTAGTTATATCAAAAGTTTGTGCTTACAAATTCTTTTAAGTTGTTTATCTTCAGTAGATGAGCACCTAACTGGGAGCAATGTCTCTTACTTCCAGCCCAGGATTTTTGTGACATCTTAAATAGATAACAGCTCTTCTCGTGTATGACCCAGTTATGGGGGCAAGGCCCAGAAAAATGTCCTGGAAAGAAAAGATTATATCATGAAGTCCACTGTGTACCAACTAATTCTTTTAGTGCATTTTCACGAATACCTAATAATGAGTTTTCATCAACATATACGTCATTAACACATATCTAATTTTTGACTCAAATTAGACTGTAGTTTTACGAAATTTATGAAAATACTTTTGTTAATTAAAAATTGAAATTAGAGACTGAAGAGTTGGTTCAGTCGTTAACAGTACTGGCTGCTCTTCCAGACAACCTGAGTTTGATTCCTAGCACCCACATGACAGTTCACAAACATTTACAATTCTAGTTCCAGGAGATCTAACACAGTCTTCTGGACACTGAGGGTACCAGGAGTTCAAGTAGTACACAGACCATATGTGCAAGCAAAACACTCATACACATAACAAAATTTTAATCTAAAAATCAATTGAGTAATGACTGTGCTTAAGTTGACAACTAAACTTATCTCTTCCATTACTTCAAATCTCGTCCCAGACTCTTTTTCTCTACTGCTCCTCCCTAAAGCAAACATATTCAAAATCAATTGCTGCATGCAACAGCTTCAGTTCACTCAATTCATCTTACAGAGAGGCATAAATGTAATTATATATATATTTCGAAGATGCTTTTATGTTTTATTAGCTAAAAATGGTGGGTAGGTAAGTCCAGAGATGGAATACTCAAGGGAAAATATTGTCAATCAATTATGATCCAATCAAAAACACAAGCAGAGTACAGAAAAATTGCTAGAAAAATCAATTCAAAGGTATTATTGAATGCATTTAACCAGAGTTTTCAGTGATGTATGCATCAGCTCCATTTCTTCTGCATTTTTTTATTAGTGTTCACACTCTTGTCTTCAGTGTCCCTTCCTCACTTTTCCCCTGACGTTCTTTTTCCCTTATGTCTATCTTATTATAACAATATCACTGTAAAAATATCAGTTCCCTACAGGCACTGAACACTGCCTCTTCCTTTGCACAAAATCATATTATATCCAGTGGGTTTCGACACACAGCCAGAGACAAAAACAGTTACTGATCCTTTTTTGCAAGAGCTGTGGACTTGTGATATCAGGCATCTGACAGGATATGTGTTATGCTAAGGAACAGTATCTGTTCAGCATGTTTGCTTTGAATAAACTGTTATTGGATGTAAACATCTTCCCCACCCCCATGCCTCAGCACCAGGAAATGAACCTCTGGAATCCAGGATTCCATTGCTCCATTAGTTCAGGCCTTGCCTGTAGTCTGGGATGCCTTGGAGGGAGCCACCTTCTCATCTAAAGATGATTTTGTGGGTTTGTGGTTCTCCTTATTTCTTGACGGGAAGTTTTCTTTCTCCTCTGCATTTCTCCCTGAATTGAATCTCCAAAATGCTTCATATTTCACGAACAATAATAGCAACAGAAAAAAGAAAGTCATTCTGCTGTGTTTGAAAACTGAAATTCCAGCAGTCAAATTTTATGAAAGCTCATAGGGGATATCTATGATTAAAGATAAATCAATGTTACTGATATGTTGCTGATAAAAAATGAGTCTGATGGTTGATTCATAGATGACTGATCAATTATAGAGAAAGAAATTAGTAACTTCTATGCAGCAGGTAGCAAGAAGGAAATGACATAGATCTAACTGGAATTATAAAAGATTTGAAATAATAATAATTCAATGACAGTAATATTCCTTTTCTTTCTATTATAAAGCTCTTTGAGAATTACCCAGCATGTAATACATAGATTTTTTTTGTACTTAATAAGCATTTGACTAATTATGAGTGATGAAAACTCTTGGAAGGTATCAAACAACTGTATTGACACAGGATTCATGAGATATAGAAACCTAAAGAAATCTATTCATCCTTCACAAAATAACTGCTTAGTACTTTTTTAAGTGCCTCGGGCAATACTTGGTAAAGTCAAGAAGTTTTTCTTAAAGGTCATTTGTAAGATAATTTCCATATATCACAAGGCTCACAACATTATACACAACCCTTTTAATATAACTATGTCCTAGGGAAGATAACAGCATATTTTGTTTCTTTCTCCAGCTCTGCAAGTTCCCCTTCATTGACTTATTCTTTAAATTTCTCTTTAAAAAATTAAGCTATTCATGTGGAATAGTAGCAATATAGCTAAGGGCATATGTTTTATTAAGCATATTGTCTACATTTCTGCTCATGACACCACCACTAATTTATAACAATGGAATAGTCAGTCTTCTAGTCTCTCCAGTCCCCTATATGTGAAATGGAAATTAATAGCAGGAACTCAATGGGAATAATATACAGATTAATTGTCTGTGACTGTTGTTAATCTCCCTCATCCATACTCACCTAGGACACCCAGGACTGAAGCAACCACTACTGCAACCAAGCACAGGATTCCCAAAGCCACCACAATAGGCCGCCAAGGAGGAGATGAAGCCTGTCTTCCTAAAAGGCAGAGAGATGAGAAAGAAAATAAGGAAAGTCCGTAGAGCCCTTTAATTGCTCAGCACACTGGAATGGGGACAGTGCTAAAGGAATCATCAGCTAGTGTAGTCTAGTCTCTTGAGAGTCTTGTCTTGTAGTGTGAGTCTCCATTGTCCCCCAGTTTCAGGATATCTCTTTCTTCAATTGCTTCAGCTGTGTTATCATCCATTAGCATCCTGTATATTTTATACTGTTTCCATTTTAAGATCTATCTCCTGCTAATGGGACATTTTCATCTAGCATATGTTTTCCATCACTGATATACCAGCAGCTAGTTTTTAAAAATTCAAATTAAACTTTTCCCATAAAAGTATGTCACTTGTGGGATTTAAAACTCTGTGACTATGCCTTGCCATCTGTATACTCCTGGATCGCAGGTTCACATGCTACTCTGTAGATCTGGACATTATTCATTCCCTGAAATTCTACTTGTTCATTGAGTGAACAGCTTTCTATAGGAGAAACAGACCAATTATCAAGGGTAGTTTTTCTTTTTTATTTATTTGGTGCACTGTTTGGAGAAATTATTTTCTCCATCCCCTTTCTTTTTAATTTTTTTATTTTCATTTGTGAAATTGGATCAATAACAACTAAAAATACTATTGTTGGAAGTAAGTTATGTAAAAATGCACAGAAACGCTTTTTTCAGAATGCACAGAAACACCTTTTTCAGCAATTGTGAGTGAGCACTTCATAGTTTGCACAGCACAAGTACATAAGCCTGGCCGCTTTTATTACCCAATTTTTTTTACCATCTTCTAAGCAAATTGCACAAGAAAGGAATTGTGCAAGTGGTTATAAGAGGAAAATAATTGCATAATGTGAATACTCAAAAGCAGAAGAAAGCAAATTGTGATGTCAGAATCTGTGAGTCACTTCTTCCTTAATGACAACAGTGAACTGATTTTGTATTACGCTTATTACACCAACAGCAGTAGCTCAAGTCACAGAGATGCCCAATAGGAGACCCAGAAAGAGAGTAAAGCACCCACCCTGTGAGGAGAGAGATCCTTTAGCATCCTTATAGCTTGTAGTGTTCCCATTTTAAGATCTATCCTCCTGCTAATGGAACATTTTCATCTAGCATAAGATTTTCATCACTGATATACCAACAACTAGTTTTTAAAAATTCAAATTAGTTTCTTCCCATAAAAGTATATCAGATTTGTGATTTAAAACTCTGTGACTCCTGGCTACTCTTTGGATTTAACCAAAGATGTATTTATTTTTTATTTGCCATGCAATCCCCTACGATTTCATCCCCCACCTCTTTGGCACTATATGTTGTAAAATTGTGCAGGTTCATTTGTACTATTTTGAGTTTCCTGGCCCCCTTACAACTTACTATGAGACAAGCAACAAGCAACTCACTAAAATTCCTTTGTCTTTGTTTCTCACTCATGTTACCAGCCCCACTTCCCACCGATGAAGCCTCTGTGACTGTAGAATAGAGTAGTCCTGTTTCCTGCCACAAATCAAAAGCAATCTGTGGACACTGTTGAGTAGTTTCCAGAAAAAGGAGTTTGATGATCATGCAAAGGATCTTCTGATGACTTCCAGCAATCTTAAAAACTGCGTTATCAGTGTATCAGAGTGTGTGTGTGTGTGTGTGTGTGTGTGTGTGTGTGTGTGTGTGTGTATCTGGGTCTGTGTATCAATAGGAAAACCTTCAAATTCAGAGTTTCTCCACATCTCCACTTCTGCTGATAAAAATGAAGCTTCTATAGGCAGAAAGAAAATGAATACCTTTCTCCGATCCCTTGGTTCTTTTGTGGATGTCTCGAGTCCTGAAGTCTAATTGAGTATATCCATCTTCATCTAGATTCTCTGGATGAGAGTGATATTTCATTGTTTTGTAGGGTTTCCGTAGGCAGAGCACTTGAATGCTCTTTCCAAGTAACTTCCAGGATGAGGATCTCTTAACTAACCCTGAAACAGCTCTTTGCTGAGACTTATGGAGTTCAGCATAAGTAGTCTAGCCAATGCCCAAAGCAGGAAATGAAAACCACGTTGGAGTGATTTCCCATTTTTCGCCTCTAGATCCTTTTTTTGAGGCTGTAAATTCGAAAGAAAGCTGATACATACTACGACTGATACATAGATTGATATCTTACAGTGTTTAATTACACTCCCCATCAAGTTGACATGATTAGATTAATTGTTTGGCCTATGTAAACTGTTAAGAAATTTGGTGCCTTGAGTTCATCATTGGTTTGTTAGAATTCTGCTTGCATGCACACTTCTATAGATGTGTGCACACATTTTTGGGTGTGTGCATTTATTCCATATATATATATTAAATACTTCACAACTGGAGGAGCCAGCAATGCTTGCAGAAGGATTATCCACAAAAACTCATTGCCTAATGAAGGAAACCATAGGCAAGCATCAAAAGGACGTTATTCCAGCAACAGACAACAAATTATTCTCTCTGAGTCTTGTCATGGATTAAAAATATATAGGAGTAAATATTTATCGGCAACTACTCTGTCTTAGGTACTATTAAGCACACGTGCTTTCTCATTTCATCTCAGACCTCTAAGAATTCTATGTAAGCATGTGTATTAGTTCTATTATTCTCAAATGAGAAGAAAAAAATATGTATACTCAGACAATGGGAATTTTAAAACTAGAACAAGGAACTGGAACAAAGTCTCCTCTGTCTTTAAGGTTTGCCCTAGCTTTCTGTGGCACTGCCCTTTCTTTTCTAGATTCTTACAATGTAAGACATAGTTTAGGGACAATCTAAGTCTGAAACCTAAAGCTACATGTCTGGAAAATTTTTCGCTTTCTTTCTTTCAATTCACAGGTTAATGCAAAGTGATCAAATTCAATTTGGAAATGGTTTGGTTTTCATCATTTGGTTACTGCCATAGGTAAACAAGGAGGACATCAACGTAATGAGGATAGGTTAATTGAAGAATTACTGTTTGCAATGGAGAAGAAGGTCTAATATGAACTGAAGTCAGAGTCCACAAAACAAAATCTGAAGCCATTTCAATGCTACAGGGTGCTAATGAGAAGTTGTGCGGTGAAGGGGTAGCCAAAGTGAGTCTTCACCCAGGCTTGTCCATGGCACTTGTTAAACTCAGGAACTTTTCATCTTTATGACATGAGTCAGTGACAGACCTTGAAGCAATGCATTCACCTCCAACTGACAGGAGAGCAAGGATGATGTCCCTGAATGCTTGCCCTTGAGGAACTGTTCAGGTCAGTGGACTTGTTACACCAAGGTCAGAGAAAAGATACTGTATTACAAACTCCATACCTAACTGCTGTAAGAGTGGATTCACCTACCACAAACTGCCAAGTTGGCTTTTTGTTTGTTTTGTGTTTTGAGACAGGATTTCAAACATTCATCAGTCCTCCTTACCACGAAACAGCAAAGTCAGCTCTGACTTGAAAAGTTAGCAACACTACCAGCATCAAGCTTGCTTGTGTAGGTACCTGAACATATTGGACCCATCCTTCCTAGGAATAAAGCCTTCTAAAGTTACTTGTGGGTCTTCCAGGTGTACCGGTGAAGTTAGGAGCAGTCATTATATGATAATGAGCAACTACTTCTCAAGGTCTAACAAGGATGGAGATGATAGAGCACTTAGTGGACCATAATTAGGTGAGATTCTGTCTTTTTCCTTGTCTCCCACAACAGTCTTACTGTCTGTTTATGAAGTTGTTGTATAGGGGTCTTGTCTATTTATTTCCAACATCTATTAGCCATTCAATTCATACTGCAATCTTTGTGAAGCAGTGTGATGAGATGTAGAACATTGTACCCCAAGATAAGACATGTTGACATCTGAGAAACAATACAAAGAGGAAGATCACCCCTGCCACAGGCCATAAGATCTTCATGTGAGAAAGAGGGAGGAGGAGATCCTCTTTCTGTGTCTAGATGGAAAGAACATCCTCATTTTCCACGAAAACACAGAAAAGAAAATGTAAGCAACTAGCCCCTGCCAAGTTCCCTTCAGTTGTCACTAATTAATTAAACTCAGCGGGTGCTGTGGAGCATTAATTTAATATGTGTTATTGCTGCACTAGTTCTAATTGATCTTAGTAGTAAAAATCCAGAGTCAGATACTGGGGTCAATGCTGAAAGATCAGAGAGACAGTGGGGCAAATCACAGTCAACTCTTACCTTTGCTAACTCTTCAGCTTAAAAGAGGCAGACATCCTGTCTCCTTTCTCCTTGTATTTATCTCTCTGCCCATCCATATCACTTCATGTCTGTCTGTAGAGACCTCCAGACCTCCATGATTAACTACTGGATAGCTCTGCCCTCTAATCTTCAAGCAAGCTTTATTTGTTAGAGTACAAACAAGATACCACAACAGAGTTACATTTGTTTATGCTGTGGAACTTTTGTTTGAAGAGGCAAAGGTGTGTTGCATTCTTTTATGTTGCATTTGTTTAACTCTGTAAAGCTGTGGTTTTTTTCCCTGCTTAAAACACTTAATTGGTCTAATAAAGAGCTGAATGGTCAATAGACAGGCAGAAGAAAGGATAAGCAGAGCTTCCAGGCAGAGAGAATAAACAGGGGGAGAAATCCAGGCTTGAGAGAAGAAGGAGAGAAATGAGGAGTGGGAAAAGGAGAAGAGGAGGAGGATGCAAGGGGCCAGCCACACAACCAGACACGGATTAAGAAAAAAAGATATATAGAATTTTAAAAAAAGGTTAAGAAGTCCAGAAACAAAACATAGTTAAAGAAAAATGGGATAATTTAAGTTAGAAAGGCTGGCTAGAAAAAAGCCAAGCTAAGGCCAGGTATTCATAAGTAAGACTAAGTCTCCATGTATCTATTTTGGAGCTGAGTGGCAGGCCCCAAAGAGGAAAAAAAAGCTATAAGTGGATGTAAATGGAGACTGCTCGTTCATTTCCCGATCGCCCAAACCAGAATAATCACACAAGAATGATATTAATTACAGTACTGTTTGCCAATAGCTCAATAGCTTAGGTATGTTCCTAGCTAGCTCTTACATCTTAAATTAACCCATTTCTATTAATCTATGTATTACCACAAGGTTATGGCCTACCAATCAGGTTCCAGCATCTCTCTCATTTGGCAGCTACATAGCATCTCTTTGACTCTTCCTTCTCTCTCTCTCTCTCTCTCTCTCTCTCTCTCTCTCTCTCTCTATCTCTGTTCTGATTTCCCGCCTGGCTTTAATATGCTAAGTCATTGACTTAACCAGCTTTATTCATCAATCAATAAAAGCAACACATATGCAGTAAGACAGACATCCCACAACAGGTGGGTCATACATGAGAAAAGGACATGAAAATAGGGGAGGGTTGTTGAGAAAATGGGCTCCTGTGAGGGATAGTGAGGTAAGATAAGCTGATGAGGCACGAAAATAACTACATTTTATCATACAAATGCGTGAAAGTGTCAAACAAAAAAAAGCTAAAAACTGCCTCTAAGAATTAAGAATCTTACTCCTGTTAGTCACAGTGATATTTCCTAGGAAATTAAGAATTTTTTTATTCATCATAGGCTTTCAATAAATACATGTTGATTAAATGTATAAGCTTATTTATACATTTATATGTCTATAAATATCAAAGAAAAGATACTTTAAAATATCAGTAACAGTTACTATTCTTCAGTTGATAATTCTCTTTTTTTCTCATTTTTAGGTTGGCATACAAAACGGTGGACTTCATGAAACCTCCATCCATAGGAGTCGTTATACTTTAGTCTCCCTTATTACCTTTCCTACTTCACTCTGTAGAATTTGCCAACTTAAGCTTGGCGTCACCTGCTTGTAACCTCAGCACCTGAGAGACTGAGGTGAGAGGATTGCAATTTCAAGACCAGCCTGGGCTACACATTGAGAGACACTTCTAAAATATCATCTATCTATACCTGATATAAAAATAAATGATAATGCTTCAAAAGCAATAACGTATAATCTCCTCTGTTGTCACCTAAACTGCATAGTCTGGTCAGGTCGATGGCATTGTGTGGTTCAGTCTATAACCCTGAAAAGGAAGAGCATTCTGTCTTTCCATGTATTCTGAGTTCAGTGTGTCTGGAGCCAGACAGGAAAGGAATCATCCTGCTAGTGGAAGTCATCATGCTGAACTCTCGACAATTTCAGCTTCTGTCCCATATTACAGCTGGCTGTCTCTAAATTGCCTGGGGAAGGTAAGTAGGATTGAAGAAAGAATAGCAGATGCTAGAAAGCATTTTATTTATTTAATTTTTGTTTTACTTTTGTATTGTTAGTGGTAATAGGTATGTCATTCATTTAGTTTTAACGTTTGTCTTACATTTAATTGAAAGTCATAACTGTGTCATGGTTTTCGAATATGATGTGATGTTTGGGTACCCATGGACAATGTGGAGTGGGTTTTTCCTGCATATTTATTTTCGGGATTTGGCTGACCTGTACTGTGTCCTTCATCCTTCTGCTCACGGTGCATCCCCCCCCCCCCAACCCACTGCAATCACTTTTAATATATCACTGGCAGTCCATTGATCAGGCAAATGCTTTGTTTTCACTTTCTGTGCTCTTACTTTCATAGTTAAGCGGGATGTGGTGCCAGATAGCCCCCAGGAAGGTCTCTGGACTGTCCTAGTTGAGTCAACAGCAGCACCCCGGGTGCCTTTTGCCCTTTATGTGAGGATTTCAAATATACAGTTTTATTTAGAAGAAAGTAACTGAGCTTAAAATATTGGCAGAGATTCACTTGGTGTTCTTAGAGACGGGAGCGGGCATTGAATCACAGTGTAAATAAATCCCTGGTGCAACTTCTAAGTTCAGGATCCAGAGACACAGCGGGTGGTGGTGTCCTTTCTCCTGCACCTGCTGTGGAGAGACTGAGTGACTTTCAAGTACTTCAGTTTCTGTGCTGGATTCCTCCTGCGAAAATGTCTATCAAGATCCTTGTACGCTGAAAAAAAGAGAGAGAGAGAGAGAGAGAGAGAGAGAGAGAGAGAGAGAGAGAGAGAG